AGCTCAGAATTTTATCACACTTTTATTCAGCTTGAAACAATAAGTAATCAGGTCAGAGCGTGACAGCTCCCTTGTTGCAGACCACATCAACAGAAATCCATACCAAACCGGATTTATAAAAGAAATGCAACGTACACATAAATATCTGTCCCCGTTACGCGGTCAAATTTTTGTTTTTATATCTTATAAGTCGTGTTTAGGATGACATCTTTACATTGACCGATTAATTAGCTGTGGCGCCACCTCTTCAGAGCGCGCGAGGATCTAGCGATCACGAGTATATTCGTGAAACACAGAGTAAGTGTCGCTGTTAAAATATTGAATCAAAAAGACGGTTTTATTTTATAAAATTAACAATTTTATTACTAATATTTACTTATAAACTTAACACTAGATTTACGGAACCCGTCAAAATGACGGATCACTAATTTGTTAATTTACGATTATTCATATCGTAAAGATTCATTTATGAGTTATTTATTCAATTTATATATTACTTACGGCAAATGTTACAATAACACTTGTTAAAAATCAGAATAAATTTCTTATTGTTACTTTTATGAACTAATATAAAACAGTTGTCTTTTTGTGCTCCGTAAATCTAGTATTAACATTAACACATACTAGATACGTAATAAACGAAAAACGCAGGAAAAATCAATTACTGCTAAAAATTAAAAATTCAAATTGCTGCTGTAGAGTGGTATTCAGCAAAGCAAAGAACGATAGATACATAATGGCACTTTGCACGTCGAACACCAATATGGTGATTCTTTTCTAATCTTATTTTTATAACAATGTAAATACCTTCGTGTAGGATTGGCCTTAAAATATTCTAAACATTTTGAAATTTGAGAATATGTTATCGTTTTCACTAAAATTACAATTTAAATAGCCAATGGTCACTACTTTTTACGCACGACGAGTACACTCGCCAAACACAGCTAACTGGTTAATGTAAATTGTCGTTTTTGAAGCTTGACGGCTGCATACTTGGCATAGGGCTATGTTTACCTTCGTAGTTGCGAAATGAAAGAGGTTTTATCAATGAAATAGTTTAGATAATATCGACAGTGTAATAAATAGGCACAATAATAATAGACACAAAACATTCAATGAATTTAAAATTACTGTTGTTTTAAGACTATTTTTAATTTCGACGCGGCAGTTGACACAAGATTTACGGACCTAATAACTAATTTGTTAATTTACGATTATTCATATCGTAAAGATTTATTTATGAGTTATTTATTCAATTTTTTATTTTACTTACGGCAAATGTTACAGTAACACTTGTTAAAAATCAGAATAAATGTCTTGTTGTTACTTTTATAAACTAATATAAAACAGCTGTTTTTTTGTGCTCCGTAAATCTAGTGTTAAAAGCGTCGAACGACTCGTTCGAACAGTAATTCTGTTCAGAAAATTCGTTCGGAATCTGCAGATTAGATTTAAATGAATGCGTGTTTTCGACATCGCGTTCGAAGACGAAGGTAGAAGGGGAGTGATGTGTACCAGAAGACTGAGTGCGGCCAGTAAGTACTTCCGCACACAGGCCTGACAAAATATTGTGAAAAAAACGCGCAGGTATAGGGGTGGCTTTTATATAAATCGCGAGGAAAATACGGGAACTCCTATGAAACGGGATCCGATCCAAATGGCGATCCATTGTAACGATTTTAAGTATGAATCTCCTAGGAATATCCATTGAATTATTATCAATCGTTCTTACATACCAATCGAAAGAATTGCAATACTTTTGAATAGGTTCACTTCAATCAGCGACTATAAAACTGTTTCAGAATTGTTCAGATTTAAATATTAGTTTTTTAATCAGTCAGCTGTGTTTGATGAATACATTCGTCGTGGAAAAGGGACAGTATTTTGTATCTTGTATATGTATTTTGTATTATGTATTTTGTATATTTGTATATAAATTGTAATTTTAATGAAACCAAAAACATATCCTCAAATTTCAAGATGTTTCAAATATTTTGAGGTCCTACACACGAAAGTGTTTACATTGTTATAAAAACAAAATTAAAAAAGTTTTGAGGTCCTATACAAAGGTGTTTACATTGTCATAAAAATAAAATTAAAAACGAATTACAATATTGGTGTTCGAAGTGCAAAGTGCCATTATGTATCGTTCCTTGCTTTGCTGAATACCACTCTACAGCAGTAATTTGAATTTTTAATTTCTATAAGTATTTGATTTTTCCTGCGTTTTTCATTTATTATGTATGTAGTATATGTTAATTTTCTCAAATAAAATCATCTTTTCGGTTGAATATTTTAACAGCGGCACTTACTCTGTGTTTGACTAGTGTACTCGTCATCGCTCGATTCTCACGCGCTCTGAAAAGGAGGCGCCACAGTTAACTGGTTAAAAGTATCCCAGAAGAATTCATTAGCACGAGACAAAGAGCAACCTGCCCTTGAAAGATTTACGACACTGTCTGCACTTCACGCAGGGTACAAGCAACGATCCGCTACAATAGCGACCGTCCATAGAATCCTCGCTAATTCCTCACACTGGCGTGCGCCACTCTGAAAGCCCCTAAGAGGCACGTCTCTCTCTGAAACGCGGAATTAAAAAAAAAATAACTAAAAAAACCCATAGGAGGGTAAAACTGCACCGTGCTAATTCGCCGGACCGCGGGCATCGAGATCTCGCTTGTCTGTCCTTGTGGACACAGTTTCATCCCCTTGGCGATCCCTCCACGCGGTATCTGCTGATCTCCGTCTCTATCCGAAGGAGGACAACGGGCTGACAGAGTGGAGTATGTGTTCACACACGCGCGCGGGCACACACACGCGTCGCAAGGTAACACGTGAAAGGTAACACGCGCCCGAGCCCCTGCATTCTTCCACTTTTTTATCGTGCACCGGGTAAGTTTTTCGCTTCGGGCACGCGCTGCGCACGTTCGAGCACGGGCAGGTGAGAGAAGAAGAGGGAGAGAGAGAGAAAAACGGGATCGCGCGTTTCACCCCCGAAAAAAAGAAACCAGGGTTCGGTAGAATTCGTTTTCGGAAAAAAACAGCGGGAGCCCTGTGCTCTCCGGGGCATTGTGGCGAGCGTTATCGCGCGCGGAAGTCGCGAGCGGACGCCGCTGCATTCCGCTGCACCACCAAATTGCATTGTTCGGGCATCGTTTGATTCGCCCCGAAACAGAGACGGGTGCTGCGGACAATCGTTCGCGTAACAGAACGCGATGCAGCGGTTTAAGAGTCGAGGAAAATCGGTTTTCTGGATCTGCATGCGCGCAGATTTTTTTGAATTTGTTGTAGAAGCCTCAAAGGATGGAAATGGAAACAACATTGTTGCAGAGAAATATATATAAATAAGGGGGAATTGGTGCGAAGTGTTTTATTGAAGTAGAGAAATATTGTTAAAGAGTGATCTTTAGAAATAGAGAAACATTGTCGCCAATTAATATTTAGAAACGAAGACACATTGTTGAAAGTAATATCTAGAAATATGGACACGATGTTGCATAGTGATCTGTAAAAGTAGAGAATCTTATTGCATAGTAATCTGAAAGAATGGAGGAAAATTATTGCAGACCTATTTGTAGAAATAGAGAAACATTGTTGCAAATTAATATTTAGCAACGCAGATGCATTGTTGCAAAGTAATATTTAAAAGTATGGTCACGATGTTGCATAGTGATCTGTGGAAGTAGAAAATCTTATTGCATAGTATAATCTGAAGGAATAGAGGAAAATTATTGCAGACCTATTTGTAGAAATAGGAAAACATTGTTGCAAATTAATATTTAGGAATGAAGAATATTTAGAATAAATATTATTATTAATATTTAGAATTCAAATCAATATTTAGAATGAATATTTAGGAATGTTACAAAGTAATATTTAGAAACATGGACACAATGTTGTATAGTGATCTGTGAAAGTAGAGAAACTTGTTGCATAGTATAATCTGAAGGAATAGAGAAAAATTATTGCAGACCTATTTGTAGAAATAGAGAAACAGTGTTGCAAATTAATATTTAGAAACGATGACATATTGTTGAAAAGTAATATTCAGAAATATGAACACAATGTTGCATAGCAATCTGTGGAATTAGAGAAACTTGTTGCCTAGTGATCTGAAGGAATAGAAGAAAATAGTTTCAGAGCTATTTATAGAAATAGGGAAACATTGTTGCAGAGTAATTGTTAAAGATAGAAAAACATTGTCGTAAAGTAATATTTTGAAATAGAGATAAATTGCTGCAGGGAAATCTTTAGAAATAGAGAAACACTGTTGCAGAATAATCTTTAAAAAAAGAACGAAAGGATTGTTGCAAAGGAATTCACAAAAATTCAACAAATGCAACATTGTGCTAAACACATTTGTAAAACTGTTCTTGTTTTTCCTCTCTACAGAGATTACAATAAATTCTTCCCAATTGTCCTTCAACTAGTGAACAAAAATGCACAATTTGGAAGAAGAAGATACGATTATTCCTCCTCGTTTTTATAGTTGTTGTCAATCAGAAACTATAAAAACGAGCCACAAGGCTTGAATAATCGTATCTCCTCTTCCCATATTGTCCATTTTTGTTTACAAGTTGAAGAACAATTGGTAAGCATTTGCTGTATTTCGCACACGTCGAAGATGGCAGACGCTTGTCTATCAGCTGATGATAGACATAACCTCAATCAAAATGGAATAAATGCGAATAATTGTAGAAAACGCAGCAACTGGTGAAACGTGTTGAAATCAGATTAGGCACATTTCGCTCATCTCGAACGTAAGAATGGCTGACCAACCCGAAAGTGTTGCGAAGATTACGTTTATGGAGTGTATCAGACGAGTAAACACTTTTTTAGCGATTTCTACCTCAAAATGCCGAGTCTTATCAACTTTATCGTTTCTCGGCGATAGATATCTGTATTATTTGGACTGAAGTTCACACAAGATAATTAAGCAGTAACAAAGTACTTGCTGTTGCAACGGTAGAACAAAGATTATATAAAATTCGAACAGTGTATACTCGTTTATCTAGAGACACTGCTTTATTTTTGGAAACAAAGGTACAATTACCCTGTCGAAAAATTCGACTTGCACTTCTTCGAGGTGACATTATCGACGCACGAGCGTCCGCGTCGTTCTACCTGGCAGTGTATCGCCTTCCTATCGTATAATTATCTTATCGTCTACGCGATATCTCATTCTACATTTCGAGCCGCGAAGTACATACACCAGTCACGGTTCAATCGCAAAATTTCTCCCGGCTTTTTTATTTTCTCCGCTTTTCCAACGAGTATCAATACACTGCGTCGCGTCGTGCCGCGTCGCGCCGGATCGCTTCTCTTCCATTGCGATCCCCGTGCACGTGCACCGTTCACGGAACTTCGACATTGTTCTCAATATTTCAAGAACGGTCGATACGCAAGGTTGTATCGTCGGCTGCGATGTCCACAAATCGTATGCCGTCTTCAGTCTCCCTTGGCTATTAGAATCGTGCATGCATCATGAAACATACAGCAGTACCGTGTACGCGTTTCTTATCCATTGTCTCCCCTAAAAAGGAAATGAGAAAACATTTAAAAAGAAGCACCTTCGCCGATCGGAGTCGATGCAGTGTTCACACGCGCGATCCTGTTTCGAAAGACAATTCGAATATAATTTCAAGTACAATTCAGGTGAAATACAATTAAAAGCAAAGCGTCAACGGAATCACCCGTTCGGAAACACGACAGAAACTTCGATCTCTAAATCGTTGACGTTCGCGCATTTTTAGTAGAAAAACTCTTTTGCATTCGTTAGTGATATTCTCGTTAACAAAAGTTGAAATCGTTGGCATGCAATGTGTGACATACAACGTAATTCCAAATCCAAATTCCAAAAATAAGCAAAGTAAAAGAAGAAAAAACATACCCATCTCGAAAAATCTAAGGGAACAAAGGTAACAGACATCGCCGGAATGACTCCTGTTCGCGGTCCGAAAGGGTGAGCGACGCAACGTTCGGTTTATACTTACGTAGTATCGTCGACCCCGTTCGCCCCGCAACCCCGAAGCCACCTACGTCCGCGGTATCTTTTCTCTCGCAGGTTTCACCGATTACCCGCCTTCTGCGGCGGTGCTCGTCCATCGTTGTATCCCCTACCCTCCGGGTCTTCGCCACACTCTCGAGGCCCTCCACCCTTAAAGATCACGGTCGCAGGTTCACCCTGTCTCCTCTAGATCAATCTCTCTCTCTCGCTCTCTCTCTCTCCCTCCCTTTCTCTTTCTCTCTGTCTCGCCACTGGTTCCCCTCTACTCCCTGGCTTGTATCGGTATATCTTTGTCTCCCCAAAAGGCAGCGGTTACATCCCTCTCTCGCGATCCTTTGGCGCCCCACAGTCCTCTGTCCCCGTCTAAAACACTCGGCCGCTGCTTCGTCCTCTTCGGCGCGGCTCGGTTCTGTGACTCGCGCATCCGGGGTTGCGACTCGCGAGGGTAGAGGAAACCAAGCCTGTGCTTGGTGGGGATTTCAGAGCATAGGTAGGGATAGCTACGGCACCAGGGTGGGGGATGTTTGACTACAGAGAGCGCGACTCGATTGTCAGTTAGTATTGGGTTAGGTCAGCCCAGAGCAACGTCGTTGATCGTCGTCGTTCCTCGTGGTCGGACGGCGACGTTTGTTGTTTATAGTAGAGTAGTTACACACGTTTTGCGTCACCTTTATTTTCCTTGTTTCATCTAGCCTTGCCCGTCTGTCTTGCGTTGCTCGCTCACAGTCTCTGTATTTCTCTCCGCAGCGCTCGGTTCGGTAAATCTCGATCTGCTTGGTCCACACGTGGACCCGTGCCAGAACCGCGTGCCGATCGCCGAGAACTCGACTGGATCGTCCTCCGCGTGGAATTGTTTTCTGCTCGAGGTCGTCGGTGTGCAGTGGTGTTATCGCCGCCCGGCTCGATCCTAGTTCTCGCGGTTGATCTTTCCGGAAGTGAATGACCGTATTGTGCACAAGGAAGTGGATGGAGTGTCAAAGTGAAAACGGCCAGCACGGATCGTAGAATGGCACTGTCTCTTCTACAAGAAGCTCAAATTAACTCAGGTACAATTTTGCTTCTACGGGATGACTCGACGGATCGCGCGCGAGCCGTCGTCGCGAAAGATTCCTCCTCGATCGACGGCTGCGTTCGCGCGACGCGGCGCATGATTAGCGAAACAAAAGTCTCCGCCGGCCCCCTCGCGGGCCGCGTTTGTTTTGCACGCGGACTCTGAAGGTTAGTCGGTTGGCTTTTCTTCATGCTCGCGGCCCGACCTCGTGGTCTACTGACCCGATCGAAACGCATAGTATCAGGCGCGCCCCGCCTCCGTCCGAATCCGGATATTTCGCAGGACAGAGAGAACCGCGGTTTCGTAGTTTTCGGGTCGCGATTGGCCCGCCGCCAGGATCTAAAAGCGCCCGCGGGCGACACGCTCCCGTGTTGTGACACATTGTAAACATCGATGAGCCAGGAAAACGCGAAATCGCTCGACGCCAGCCAACGGAGGAAAATGAGCGGAGGGTTTCGCGGTTCCCGACGACCAAACTAAAAATAACGCAGTCGAAAAACGCTTCGGGATATTCGCATCTCTGTCGCTGTCCCTTTGCCCGCGCCGCTGTTCCGAAGAGAACTGCGATCTACGTCTGACGTCGCCATCGCTGGTCTACGCGATAGCCAGGTTATAAACAATGTATCGTATATTTGGGCGAACGCCGCGACGCGGATCACACGCGCGCCGTATTTTCGTTCCGATCGACGGCCAGATAGGATTTCGGTGGATCTAAGACGGAGGTCGCGTCATTAATGTATTTGTAGCAATCAACCCTTGAGAGAGCGAAGGAGGTTATATGTTTCCTTCGGGTTTAATGTTTCGGACGGACTGTTCATCTTTTCTCGCGGTTCGTGGTGGGGATTCGTAGAAAGTGTTCTTGTTTATCGCTCTAGGTTTGAAGTGTCCGGAACAGGAATTTTAAGAAGACGGATGCATGATGAACGTATTGTTTGTATTGTCTGAAATGTTATTCGAGAGATGTTGTTGTTGTAGTTGGAACGTTTGAAAATCGTTTTTGACTTAGCAAAAGATCTTCGAAAATATGATCTTTTGCTAAGTCGAAAACGATTTTCAAACGTTCCAACCCAGGATAATTTAAAATCATCTTAAAAAATATAGCTTAAATTATCCTAGGTTGCGTTTTTAACTGAGATTATGAAACTTCATTTTTTCAGGGAGTGTAATAAAATATACTAAATTATTTTATTAGTCTTTCGGAGATGACGGATTACCAAAATGGCAATTTGAATGCATCCAAGATTGTAAATTTTATGAAATCAATCACAAGATGTATCGTTCAGAATATTTTAAACTTATAATTATAAGTTTAAAATTATTATAATATATATATATATATATTAATTATATTGTATTTTAAACTTATAATTGTT